ACCTGCTGGCTTGGAGAAGACAAAAATAGGGGTGTGGGGATGGTCACATGAGCCCCACGACTGTGCAAAGAGCATCTGAGAGGTGAGGAGAGCCACACCTGCATGTCCATTACCCATAATGTTCCCCTTACCCTGTTGCACAGTGGGAGGAAAATGGGTTGCAGGAATCCAGGCAGCAGAACAGCATAAGGTGTTTCCCTGAGCCTTAGGGGTAAGGGCTAAAGAAATAAAGCTTTATACACATGGCAATTTCTATCCCTTCCTATTCTGCTCAGTCCCTCTCAGCCCATATGCTGACCGTCCTTCCAATATGAGGGAGATGAGAGAAGGGTCCGCACTTAAGGGCTTGGTTGGCCTAAAATATACACTCCTCCAATGGAAAAGGAAAGTCCAACCATAAGCTTATTACTGTTGTCTTTTTTATCATCATCACTCAGACCCCTCCCTGTCTTAGGTCTGAATAATTGGTCACGCATAGGAATGAGCAATCTGAGGCAGGCAGGCAGAGCAGGGCTCTCTGGGATAGGTCTTGAGTCTGGTTTTGGGACCCTGGAGGACAACAGACTAACAGGAGCTGGTCTGAAGGTTGCTCTCTGTAAGCAATGACGCGATGGATGAGGGATCGTAGACACTGTCAAATTCCTCACCTGAGCTCAGCCCTTCGTGTTTGAGAGTTGATTCAATAGCTGAGCCGCAGCTTTGCGCCAGGAGTCCTTCTCCAGGGATTTGATCCGGGCCTGGAGCTGTTCATTGACCTTAAGCTGCTCCTCCAGCTCATGCTGGGCCTTCTTTCTCAGGCCATCCAGTCGCTCAATTTCCTCTTCTGCTTCATCCACCTGCCGCTGCAAAGCCTTCACCCTCAGGCTTAGCTGGTCTTTCTGGTCATTGACATGCTGCGCTCATCATCAGTCTGGACGGACAGCTCTTTAACTCTCCGCTCCAGTTTTCGGTTGGTGGACTGCAGAACTGTCTTCTCCCTCTTCAGCCTGTAGCTGCGCCTGCAACAACTGATTCTGGGACTCAAGCTGAGAGAGGCTGGCGTTGGGCTTCTGGAAGCCTTCTGAGCTGGCCAACCGGGTCTTCAAGTCTTTGTTCTGTCTCTCCAAGGAGATTTTGTCACACCCCAAGTCTTGCCGAGCCGATCTCTCCTGCATGAGCTCTGTCCTCAGCTGATCCACCTAGTCCCGGCCACGATTCACCCGGTCCGTTAGCAGCTCCACGGTGTTCTTCTCCTCATCGAACTCTGCCTCAAGCCGTGAGACTTTTTCCTCAAGGCCCTTCAGTTGCCGGGCCCTGTCATCCTGGGAGCGCTTCTTGTTCTCTGCCTCTTGCTCCAGCCCCTGCAGTCGCTGGGCCAGCAGCTCTTTGTCCAGCCGGGCTGTGTCTCGCTCAGCCTGGGATGCCTGCAGGGCCTGACGCAACCTCGGGATCTCATCCTGAAGATGGCTCAATCCCCCAGAGGTCTTCTCAGCCTCACTGGCCCAATCCTTGGCCTGGCGCTGGGCTTCTGCCACCTCCCACCGAGACTTTTTCTTGTAATCCTCAAGCTGGGCCTGGAGCTGCTGTAGGGCTTGCTTAGAGTCCTCCCCAATCTGCTCCACTTCAGCCTGTAGCTGCTCCTGCAACAACTGATTCTGGGACTCAAGCTGAGATATGCTGGCGTTGGGCTTCTGGAAGCCTTCTGAGCTGGCCAACCGGGTCTTCAAGTCTTTGTTCTGTCTCTACAAGGAGATTTTGTCACACTCCAAGTCTTGCCGAGCCGATCTCTCCTGCATGAGCTCTGTCCTCAGCTGATCCACCTGGTCCCGGCCACGATTCACCCGGTCAGTTAGCAGCTCCACGGTGTTCTTCTTCTCATCGAACTCTGCCTCGAGCCGTGAGACTTTTTCCTCAAGGCCCTTCAGTTGCCGGGCCCTGTCATCCTGGGAGCGCTTCTTGTTCTCTGCCTCTTGCCCCAACCACTGCAGTCGCTGGGCCAGCAGCTCTTTGTCCAGCCGGGCTGTGTCTCGCTCAGCCTGGGATGCCTGCAGGGCCTGACGCAACCTCGGGATCTCATCCTGAAGATGGCTCAATCCCCCAGAGGTCTTCTCAGCCTCACTGGCCCAATCCTTGGCCTGGCGCCGGGCTTCTGCCACCTCCCGCCGAGACTTTTCCTTGTAATCCTCAAGCTGGGCCTGGAGCTGCTGTAGGGCTTGCTTAGAGTCCTCCCCAATCTGCTCCAGCTCTTTGTTCAGCCGGTCCACAGTCCTGTCCAGCAATCGCTTCTGCTCCTCCAGCTCAGCCTTGCCCCGCCGGAGAACCTCCCGCTGCTTCCCCTCCTCCTACAGGGCCCGGTTCAGGGCCTGCCGCTCCTGCCCCAGGAGGGCCAGCCCCCGCGGAGACTCCTCCAGCCGGGCTTCCAGTGCCCGCTTGGCGGCTGCCAAGCTGCCCTCCTCTTCCTGAGCCACATTCAGGGCTTCCTCCAGCCGCTGTCTCTCTGCCTCCAGCCGCTGCGCCTTGTCCCGAAGTCGTGCTCCCACCGCTTCCCCGCCCTCCACCAGGCCTCGCGCCTCCTTCAGCTGCTGCTCCAGACCCAGGATGCGCTGGCGGAATTCGTCACTCTCCTCCTGGGCCTCCCGGGCGTGCTCTCCACCGCTGCGCGCCGCTGCCCCGCCACTGCCGCCTCGGCCTCGGCCGCCACCTTGGCCTAAGGGCGGCCAGGGAGGGCGGCTCAGACCCCCGGGCTCAGGCCCCAGGCCATCTGCCGCCCACCACAAGCTCAACCTCTGAATTTTAAGCACTGTGGAAAAGATACTGGCGGAGTAAAAAGAGGAGGCCTGTGTCTGAGATTTTTATTCTACGACTTATTGTTATGTGGCCACTGCCAAGCTACTTAAACAAACTAGTTTTTTCACCTCTCTTGGACCCTCTCCCTCAAGTGGAGTATTTTTTTTTTTTTATAACTGACGACAGTAAGATGAATACATACTCATATTCACCATTTTTGCTAATTTTTCCTTTTCTTCTTATTTATCAGAGGAAAGTACCACTATATAAGCCACATGGCTTCTCCTTCACTTACAAATGGGTGCAGGTTGGTTAAGAAATAATTAATTTCAATGTTCAATATTCTGTTACACGGAAATCAAAACTCTAGCTGGTCCTTTGCAGACTCAACATTTTTAGCCTGGACTGTCCGTGAAAGCAAGTCCACCTGCAAATTAGTTCAAAAATGATATAAACAATAAAAATTGAAAAAGTAGGTCAAAGGGTTTCAAGAAGAGAATTTCAAAGACAGCATAAGAAATTAAAGAGAGATCTAATAAATAAACTTGTTTGTTTATATAAAGGGGAAGCAGAGCAGGATTTGGCAAAGCACCAAAGGTTTGGGTACGACAGGCTTAGATTTGAAATCTCATTCAGCCAAATTTAGCTAATTAAACTTCAACAATATAATTAACCTCTCCATTCCTTAGTTTCCTAATTTACGAAATGGTGATATCACTATTATTGCACTTATAGGACTGTAGTGAGAAATAACAGAAAGAGTAAAAAGCACTTTGCACATAGTAAACACTCAAATAAAAATAGCAATCATAATTGTAAACACTATCATTGCTTTATTGATGCTCACAGCATGCTGTGAGTAGGGTCAACATGACTTTCAAATAATGAAATATTTTAAACAGAGGTAAGTTCTACAGTTTGGGGCTTAAAAAATTATGGATAGAAATAAATTAAGGTCAGAAATTTTCTGCCTCCACGGGGTTGGTCAAAGGATATGAAATTACAGTTACATGGGAGAAACGAGTTCAAGAGATCTGTGGCATAACATGGTGACTATAGTTAATAACAATATCGTATCTTGAAAAATGCTGAGAGAGCAGATTGTAAGTGTTCTCATCTCAAAAATGATAACTATGTGATGTAATGCATATGTTAATTAGCTCGATTTAACCATTCTACAATGTTTATGTATTTCAAAATATCATGTTGTATACAATAAATATATAGATCTTATTTTTCAGTTTTTCGATTTTCTTTTTTGTTTTTTATTATACACACGTGGGGTACAGTGCTGATTTTCATTAATTGCGTAGAATGTGTGGTGGTTAGATCAGGACATGCAGCTTATTCATCATTACATAGCAGTCACTCTTGGTGACTGTTGGCCAATTCCTCGTTAGTCCCCCACCCTCTCCCCTCCCCTCCCCTTTTCCACCTACTAGTTTTCTAAAAGTTCAATGTATTACTGTGATTGTTGTCTCTAATTGCATCTTCTAATTCAGCTTCTAATTCTTTTTGTACATAATTATGTGCTACAGGGAGTGGTGAAGATATAAGTTTTTAAAAGTGAGTTTTCAGGAAAATACTCTCTTTTTGTGACTGTAGTAAGTAAAAAGTTTTCTATTGCTGTAGTAGGTGGACATTTTATAAACCTCTTGAACTTGGAAAGATAAAAAAGTATATTTTGCTGAAAGTACTTCCTGAAGACTCTTTCCGTACTGTTCTAAAATCCTTTCATACTTGAATGTAGTTAGTTTTCCTCTTTTTAAATAAAACTTTATTCTAGGTGTAGTGCTGGGTATGAAAGGTGTCAAGAATGTTGCTGTTGATCTGTCTCATATCTCCAATCAGGACAATAATAGAACTTTTGTGAGTCCTTGGTACTTTTGCCCTTGTGGGTTCTTTCTTCCATAAAATATATTAAAAATGACATTTTATGAGTGAATTGGTATAAAGACAAATCCAAGTTGAACTTAGATCATATTCATTTTTAATTTTTAATTTTTAAAGAAATTTAGCATTTCAGGGGCTCCTAAAACTATCACTGGCTCTTGATGCTGTTCCTGCTGTGCCTTAAGGAGTGTGTCAGCCCAGCCTGCTCCATGTGCTCCAAATAAACATTGATGCAGGCAGACAGGATAATCGACTGTTCCATGTTTCATCAACTAAGAAGGGCAATAAATCTCTATAAAATATCACTAGATATTCTTGATTAAATACTCAAATCACAAGATTTATTTATCATCAGTTTTCATTATTTGCCCCCAGAGCTTCTTCATGACATTTTTCATTTCTTCATTTCTGAGGGTGTAAATTAAAGGGTTCAACATAGGTGTTACTAGGGTACAAAACACAGTCACAGCCTTGTCAGCAGGGGTGGAGGTCAGGGGTCTGAGGTACAAGTATGAACAAGGTACAAAGAATAAGATGGTAACAGTGATGTGAGAGGCACAGGTAGACAGGGCTTTGCGACGCCCTTCAGAGCTGTGAGTCCTCAGGGAGCACAGTATAATGACATAGGAAGCAAGCAGCATAGAAAAAGTGAGCAAACACAGTGACCCACTGTTTCCAGCAATCAGGGGCCCCAAAGTGTGCGTGTCTGTGCAGGCCAGCTCCAGAAGAGGCATTAAGTCACACATAAAGTGGTCAATGACATTGGGACCACAGAATGGTAACAGGGCCATGAACAAAATCTGAACCCCTCCATGAACAAATCCCAAAATCCAAGCCATCCCCACCAAGAATCCACACATAGGTGGGCTCATGATGGTTGTATAGTGCAAGGGCTTGCAGATGGCTACATAGTGGTCACAGGCCATGACAATTAACAGGATGATCTCAGCTGCAGCAAAGAAATGTTCAGCAAAGACCTGAGTCATGCAGCCACTGAAGGATATTGTGTTCTTCTCAGAGATCAAGTCAAAGATCATTTTGGGTCCTGTGGAAGAAGAGTAGAAACCATCTATGATGGACAAATAAGACAGAAAAAAGTACATGGGAGAACCCAGGGTGGGGCTGATGAAGATGATGACCGGGATGAGCAGGTTACCTGCCAATGTGACAAAATAGGTGATTAAAAACACAACAAAGAAGAATTTCTGCAGTTCTGGATTGTGAGTCAGGCCCATCAGGACGAATTCTGTTACGTTGCTCATTCTTTCAGTTGATTTAGCTTGGGTTGTGGGTATATGGTCCATCTGCAAAAAATCACAGTATTTCTGGGTGATGATATTTTTTATTCAGTATTAAAATATTCCAGCACCTCTTTAACCCTGGTCTCCAGGATTGATGGAGCTCCACTTCCACTCACCTCTGCTATTTTGCAGATAGTTGTAAAGAGGAACAGAAGAGGTTAGATTTCTCCTAATTCATGTTAATTGAGTAATGACACTATTTTACAAATACCACAATAAAAGCAAGATATTATGATAAATGTAGACATGCGGTCGACTTCCAAACTTCCTTTCTGGCAATGTTAGATTTCTCCTCACTCATAGTAATGAAATAGTGACACTATCTTACAAAGGCCACAATAAAAAGAAGGCAGTGTTATGAATGAAGATGTGCAGTAGGCTTCCAAATTTTCTGGCTCTAAAATTCTTGCAGATAGCTTTTTCTTTTTCACATTTTGGGATAAATTTCATCAATAACAATTATTTGGGAGTTATATTTGTCTGTTGGCATGAATATTTACAGAAACATAAACACAATATACTTTTAAAGGTGACTACACATCAGATATAAAAGTGCCCGAGGTGACATATATTTGAGTGATGTATATACCAAGTGCCCTCATGTGATCACTGCACAGATGAATATACCCAAATACTGTATGGTACTCCATAAATACATACAATTATCATGGGTCGATTAAGAAAAATAAAAGAAAAAAGCAAAAAGTGCCAAACTTTACTAATTCTAAGCGAGCTGCTTTCCATGATCTGTTATTCTTTTCTGTCCATTGAATGCATGTGTCACAAAGATAGAGACCCTGCTGCAAATGAATTTTCTTCCTTCAAATGCCTAGGATCTCTCTCTAACAACTTATTGAAAATTATTCACTCAACAGCCCTGGATGTTGTGTCTGGCTCAACATGACTCTTGCATGCTCATTCTTTCCACATTTTTGGATGTGGTCATGCAAGTGGTTACAAAGTTCCCTGAGCAGTGTGCAGTATTTCACCGCCTCCTCCTCCTTTTGTGCAGCTGACAGTACAGTGATTGAAACCGGGATCTCGGTGTTATCTGCACCACGTTCTTACCAACTGAGCTAACCTACCAGCCCTAGTTTTCAGTATTTCTATTTATCTAGCTGCTGGAGAAATTGGAATCGATTTATGTTCTAGGCTTCTGTAAACTTTGCAGTGGGCCTCCTTATTTAGGCTTTTGTTCAGCAACAACAAAAGATCCTTTCCTGAGTATCCTTTGTTTCCAAACATTGCGAAGACCATTAGAAAACATTATTTTGTTTGTATCTAATCCCATCACATTTACCCTATAGGTAAATTATACATTCTGAAAAGGGTACTTAACTCTAGGCACCATTTCGTGCCTTAGGGCATTTATTTACCAAATTTTGAGGGTTCTGGAAAGATGAGTAATATCTCAGAAGTTATTAGGGAGTAGATTGCTCGTCCTATTGTACCGACTGACCACTGATATATCAGAATACCAGCAAGTGTAGGTTTGCATGGTTCCGGTAAATTGTCTTTTATTATTTTTTAAAAACCTTTTTATTTGGAAGTAATCTCAGACATGCAGAAAAGTTACAAGATTAAGAACAGTATAAGGAAATCTCATCTACTTGACCTTATTTATGTATTATTAACATTTATCCCAAGTGCTTTATCATTTGTGTGCTCTGTGTGTGTGTCTATATATACATAATTTTTTTTTTCTGAATTACTTGAGAGTAAGTTATATATATCAGCACTCACTACACCTAAATACTTGAGTGTGTATTTCCTGAAATCAGGGAAATTCTCTTACATATCCACAATGCAACATTCAGCTTCAGTAAATTTAACATTGATATTTTTATCTAATTTACGTTCATATTCCAATTTTGTCAGCTGACCCATTCATGTTCTTTGTAGCATTCTTAAAAACAAATTAAACGATAAAGAATGACTAACGTGTAAGATGAAAGAAAGCCTCTCGGATCTGGTGTTTCAGCACCTGTCGAAGTGAATCAGAAAGCACCGACTCGACAAAGGGAGTTCACTGATCTGGTGGACAGAGATTTGGGGGAGGAGGCGGGACCCATGTTCCAGCCCAAGCTCCACAGATGTGACTGAGTGGGCCCCCACTTCCACTCCGTCTTTTCTCCCCTCTGTGAATTTAATGTGGGTTATACAATCTGTCATCTGTTGTTACGAAGGTTGTTACAAAGATTGACTTAATGAGGATATTGGGCTCAGAAGGAAAATGTCATAAAAAATAGAATATTTTCTCATTTCTCTACTATTTCTGGCTAATGTATTTTAATGTTATATGCCTGAAAGCCAAACTAAGGAAGATTTAGAAAGACCCTGTAAGCTGTTTTCCTGCTAACAGAGCAAATGAGAGGCCTTAAAACAACTTCCTCCCATCTGTGTTTCCTTTCCATCTGGAAGTGTGCCCTGTTCTTCCCTAGGGAAAGCAGATCCACAGCATTCATTTGCAGTGAGCCATTAGCAAGCTTTAGAAGTTTCCCATCAAATTCCCTAGGCCCCTCAAAAAGTTGTGATCCATTTTGATGATGAACCAAAGCAAAGAGACAGTATTGTTGGCAATTTTTAAAAAAGGAGAGTTCCAATTTTTGAAGGTTGCTCTGAGATTTTTGGTCTAGTTCTCATTTAATTTTTAATTTTATTTTTTTGATATAATAAATGTTATAATATATTAAATACTATGCACCAGGCATTACACTAAACACGTTATACTCATTCATCCCCTATAATGACTATGTGCAGTTGGAATTATTATTATTATTCTTATTATTTAAATTATATTTTGTCGATATACAATGTGGTTGATTATTGTGGCCCATTACCAAAACCTCCCTCCCTCCTCCCGCTCCTCCCTCCCACCCAAAAATGTCCTTTCTTTTTGCTTGTCATATCAACTTCAAGGAATTGTAGTTGTTATGTCTTCCCCCCCCCCCGGGAGTGTGTGTGTGTGTGTGTGTGTGTGTGT